AGACACATGGACTTGAAACTTATTGAAGCTATCCCAGTGACCTGATTGGTTCAGGAGGCTCAGGATCGAACTACTATTACCGGTTTACAATGGAGCTCATTTCTCCCCAAGGCCAGAACAGGGGAGCACTTCAGATAACATGAGCAGGGAAGCTGCCCTCAACAGAATGAGTGAAGAGTCCACCCCGACTATCCTCACGGAACACCCTTTCCCTGCCATAGCGAAGCAGCATTCCTTTTGTGAACACCCCATCCTATCTGACAAGTGTTTGATCCTACCTAGGGGTGGAGAGCATTCCTTTCTGAAAACAAGGACAGAGAAACATGTACCTCAGTTACAGCAGGTGTTCCATCAGTTTGGAACACTTAAAAATGGAGAAAACTTCCACTTGACCACAACGGTCCTTCTCAGACTTCCAGTGGTTGGAGAGAGAGGGACTGTGTGGAGCCTGGGCCCCACCCTGGAAGAAATGGCTGCTTGCAGATTGAAGATAAAACACAATGATAGCCTTGGAGTCTTTCAGACACCTCCTTTGCTGGGTGTCTCTTTCTCCAGTAATTCCAAACTGGACAGTCCTAGCCCTGGAAGGCATCTAATGAGTCCCACTTCCCTCAACCAACCTTTCTAGGAGAAAGATTCTAACAGGAACCTAAGGGAGGAACTCAAGCTCTGGCTATCCCCTGAAGTGGTTCTTGACTTCATCAATGTGGTAGACCAGCCTTGGAAAATGAGTGCCTTTGACCTCTGTCTCTGCTCCCTTGTAAAGTACTAGTACCTTCCTGGGGCAGACTCTAGGATATGTGGCAGGGGGAAGGGAGTGAGAATAATGTCTGGGTTGTAGGCAGCACGGTGAAGAGATGGACGGGAAAGGGGAATGCTGGATGAGCAATGAACCTAATTAAGTGATTTACTCAGAATCTCAAGAATACTATTTGTGAAGGGTGGGGCTCAGCTCCCAGGCCAGCTCTCTAACTATTCCACTATGTGGCCATACCAATAAATAAATGAATGAAAAAGCATCTATTAAGTGTTGGTTGTTGTTATTTAGTCATTTCAGTCTTGTCCAACTCTTGGTGACCCCATTTGGGGTTTTCTTGGCAAAAATACTGGAGTGGTTGCCATTTCCTTCTCCATTAAGCATTTACTATGTGCCAAGGACTCTGCTAAGAGCTAGGGATTCGAATATAAAAGCAAAGATGGTCCTGGCCCTCAGGAAGTTTCTTTTTTTTTTTTCCTTTTTGTGAGGCAATTAGGGTTAAGTGACTTGCCCAGGGTCACACAGCTAGTAAGTGTCATGTGTCTGAGGCTGGATTTGAACTCACATCCTCCTGACTACAAGGCTGGAGCTCTATCCACTTTGCCACCTAGCTGCTCCAGGAAGCTTACATTCTAATGGGGGAGCCAACACACAAGAAGGAGCGATGACCAGGGAGGAGCATTTTGGTCCAGACATTTAGAGGGATGGGGGGTGGATAGTAGAATTGATTTGATCCTTGTTCCAGAATTGGGGTAGAGAAGATCATAAGAGGGGGATGGGGAGGCTATGGAGGAGATGGCTAGGAAGTTAAGAGTGAAGTAGAACATGGTTTTCTTCCTAAAAGCATCCCCTCCGAATACCCAAGGCTACCCCATGTGCCATGTTTCTACCCTGCTGCTTTTGAATAAGGCAGACCCAGACCCACAGCAAGTAGGGATTCAGTCCTAGAATTCATCCCATTGGACAAAATTATGCCCCTCTCCATGAACCCCCAAAACTGACTTCACCAAGTTTTTCAAAGTTGGCACTTCCAGTGAACCCCCTCAAAACCTTGCCTTAACATCGTTTACCAGATCCCCCTGTTTTCGCACCATGAATTTTCCTGACATGTCTGTGTAACACATAGACTATCCAGCCCCTCCCGTCCTTAGCAATAGCCCTATTTCAAGGCACACCGACTCCAACCATTTTATTTTAAGAGACCTGAACGATTCAGCTGCAGCAGTTAGCATCCTTCAGCGTCTCATTCTCATATCTCATCGGTACCAAAAGACTTAGCTGCTCAAGGTGGAGGATTCCAGAGTCTTAGGAAAGTTCTCCTCCCTGTCTGGCTCAGTGGGGAGATTTCTTTGACTTAGGGAGACCAACAATATTCAGACAATAAGTCCCTCATCTATCTCTCATCGAGAAGAAGAAACATTTTTCTCCAACACACACACTATTCTTTTAGTATAACCCACTCACATTTTATGACAAACCAACTTTCTATTCTTTGTTTCACATGATATTATTATGAATAATATTTACCTTATGAATGCTATCCTAAAAATTATATATAAGCAGATAAATATGGACATATATATGGATATGTAAAAATTTGCATACAAGGTAGGGCTCAGTGTGACTTGTCCTCTATCTTGCGATCTGCCTCAGGTGGCCAGAATGAACAGCTACTTTCTTTACTCTTAATTTCCTACTAACTTCTATTATCTGACCCCAACTTCAAAAACACAGATTGGTAAGTAACAACTCTATTAGGTTCCCTTCACAAAAAAGAAAAATTCCACTATGCCATCAAGTTTCTGCAGTAACTATGCTGTCAAATTTACCTCATTGCCTTAGAACTCTGGTTATTCCTGTGTGTTGTCTAAGCTTTGGACACTTGTAGATACATTTGAGGCAATAGGTTTGATTTTTGCAGCTAAGTGGCGCAGTGGATAAAATGCTTGGCCTGGAATCAAGAAAACCTGAGTTCACATCCAGCCTCAGATACTTACTGTCTTAAGCAAGTCACTTAACCTCAGTTTCCTCATCTGTAAAATGGAGATAATGACAGCACCTACCTCATAGGGCTGTTGTGAGAATCAAGTGAGATAATATTTGTAAAACACAGTGCCTGGCCCATAGTAGGCACTTAATAAATGCTTGTTCCCTTCCTCTTTTAACCTTGGATTTTGTCACCTGTGAATGTTGGGGTTTCAACACTATTCTTCACCCACTTGCTTTGTGACTACTCTGCGTAGTAATTATCTTTCAAGATATACAGCAGTGAGAAGAAAAGAAGTAATGGTATAGGGTATAAATGGCTTTTTGCAAGGAGTTTAGCTGAGAAGAGAAAGAGGAATTCAGGAGGAGTCAGTGGAGATAAAAGGGGATGAGGAGACCTTGGGAGAGTTTAGAATAGGGAAAAGAAGGAAGATGGGGAAGTAGGGAGGGAGGATGATAGAGAGGGCAGTCAGTAAGATAGTGGATGGGAGGAGGGGAAGCTGTATCATTGCTTTTTTAAAAAAAGGAAGAGAAAGAAAAGTGGGTCATTGGAGCATTTTTTAGAGCACAGAAGGGAACAGAAGGGAGTCTAGACAAGGAAGACAATTCTGAAAGTTACCTGTTGAATTTTTTTATGCACTTAAAGGGAACAAGTTGGTTAAATTGCCAAATCCCATTTGGGAATTGAAGGCTCTAAAGGAAAGGACCTTCCCTCTGAAAGTAGCGTTGGCCTCAACACCAGAGTCCAGGGAGCTTTCTCTGGAGGCGGACTTTGGTCATAAGATAAGGACCTAGTAATACAATCCAGGGAAGAGCTATGGCTCCTGAGGGAGGGAAATGTGGGATGAAGAAAGGCCAGTAGGAGAGACAGCTTTCAGAAGGTAAAGACCCAGGAGAAGTTTCAAGGGCCAGTCACCAGAGCATACAGGCAGAAGGGTATCCCTGTTAGGTATGCCACTGGGCTCAAAGGGATAGGAATCAGTGCCCAAAAAGGCTTCATTCCTAAGCCTTCAAGTTAATTCCACAAACAAGGATTAAATACCTGCAGTATACAGAGCCTGAGCTTCATGCCTGGGCTATTGCAAGAGTCACAAATCTCTGCCCACTCCCATCCATCCTCCACCCAGCTGTCAAAAGGATCTCCCTAAAGCCCAGGTCCAATCATGTCATTGCCCCATCCCTCCATTTCAGTAAATTCCAATGGCTCCCTCCCGGGAAGGATCACCTCCAGGGTCAAATAGAATATCCTCAGTTTGGCATTCAGAGCCCGTCATAACCTTTCCCATCCCACCCCCTTCCTTTTCAGTCTTCTATCTCCCAACACTCCCCCTGCTCCCACGTACTCCTCAGTCCTGTGACGTTGGCTCCCTTGCTGTTCCTCAGATAACACACCCCATTTCCACCTCCCTGTATTTTCACTGACCATTGCCCTCATCTCCATCTCCTGGCTTCCCTGGCATCATACAAATCCCAGATAAAATCCCACCTTCTACAGGAAGCCTTTCCCAACCCCTCTTTTCTAGTGCCTTCTCTCTGTTAATTTTTCCTGTTTATCCTGTATATAGCTTGATTGTACATGGTTATTGCATGTTGTCGTTTCCCCCCCCCCCCCCCCCCCCGACCCTGCCATGGCAGGGTGTGTTTTTTAACTTTCTTTGTACCTCCAGAGGTTAGCACGGTGCCTGGCATGTAGTAAGCCCTTTAAAAAATGTTTAGTGTCTGGTTGTCTGAGCCCTGGATCACCTCACCCTGTCCTGAGAAAGCCCCCAACCTAGCCACCTGTTAGAATCAATACAGATAAGTTAAATTAAAAAAAAAAACCTTCCAAAGACAGAGAGCAAAGGGAAGGAAACAAGCATTCATAAAGGTTCTACTATGTGTCACTCACTGTGCTAAATGATATATATATACACACATTTTATTTCTATATACATATGTGTGTATATCACACACACACACACACACACACACACACACACAATCTCATTTGATCCTCACAGAAATCCTGACAGGTAGGTGATCTTACACATATATATATACATACATACATACATACATAATATATGTGTATATATGGTTGCTCTATGTGTTTGTGTATATTTATGTATATATGTATATGTGTGTATATAATAAATATTATACATATTATACATTATACACACACACACACACACACACACACACATATATGTGCTCTTTTTACAGTTGAGGAAACTGAGGCCAACCCAGGACAGGGGATAATAAAAAGGGGACTCACCATCACTGTTGAGGCTCCTGGGATTCTCCATCAGGCCTCTCGGGCTGCAGAACCCCGCGTTCTCTCCTGCTGCTGCCGCCGCCGCTGCTGCTGCTGCTGCTGTCTTCCAGGCCTGGGAAGCTGTGGTCAGCAGCCGCCTGTCACTTCGCGCCCCCTCTCAGCCTGCTCACAGCCCGGGCGGCTTCTCCAGGAGACATCCAGGTTTTCCAGGAGTGGTCGAGCTCCCTTCCCCCAGGGGTGGTTCCCAGCAGCTCAGGGTGGGGAGCCCAGGGATGGATGGAGAGGCTAGAGCCCTTGCAGTTTGCGAGGATGGAGGTGGGATTGAGGAACTACGCCTAGATATTTACATACTGTCTTCTTCTCCATTAAAATGTCATCTCCTTGGAGACAAACACAGAGAGGGGCGGTGAGGCCCGAGACTGCATAGGTAGAACTGCCTTTACGGGCGGAGCCTGAGCCGGGACTTGGTACGCGACGCATCCGAAATCATCGCGGCTCCGCAGGGCCAGAAACCGTGGTCAACAATGTGTGAGGGGGAGACAGGTGCTCCTGAATTTCAGGGCCCAATACAGTACTAAGAGCTCAGCCTGAGGGGGCCCCCAGGCCTTCTTCAGCGTGTGCCACAGAAGCTAAGCAGGGGAACAGCACAGCCAGCCCTAAGTGGCCGGCAGGGGCACCGTCCATGGAGTCATCCTTCTCCACCAATGAGGACAGCCTTATGCAAATGATTGGCTCACTCCCCTTTATATTGGGGTTTTTGTTTCTTGGCTAGGGGTCTGAGATCTTTTTTATTTTTATTTTTCGTATAATTCCAGCTGTAAGAAAATGGCCTGGCCTGGAACCACTTAATAAGAGGTCGTGAGTGAATATATCTCCATTCCTTCCTCCTCTCACTCTCAGGCTGCCTTCTTTGTGGTCTACCTGAGCCATGGAAATGGTGCTTTACAGTAAAGAGCCCTCTAAGCAGTAAGATGCAGATTTCATCTTCATGCAAGGAAAAATCCTCCCGATGAGAGCTGCCTGGGCAGCCTCAGGAGGGAGGGGCTGCCACTAACTGGACATCTCCAGACAAAGGTTAGCTAGACAGGCACCTTGTGGCAGACATTGTACAGCATGGGGGGTTGGATTGGATGGATGTGTCTGAGGATCATCCTGGGTCTGTGCCTCTTTCTGCCATGGCTGGGGACCATTTGCCGTGTCCAAAGGGCAGCTCTTCTCCCTCCTGGAAGAGAAAGAAAAGGCACTGGAAGATGACTCTCCCTTCTCCACCTTCCCAATGCCCCAGGTCTAGGAAGGGCCTGTTCGGCTCTGTTGAATCTTTCTGCTGCCTCTTTCCAGAGGTATGACCTTCCACTGACCAGATTATCTCCTGAAAAAGATACAAAGCCCTAGGTGCCCCTACTGGCCCGCTGAGAATGGTTTTCTTCCCTTGGTGGGGAGGGAAGTCCAGGGTTCCTTCCCCTACCCATCACTGGGGCAAGCGGCACCACAAGAGCAGCCCAAACTAGATTAAATTGTAATTGGGAAATTTTATCAAAATAAGCAAAAATATAATTTGACATAGATAATGTGAACTTGTGGTTTTCTTAGTAATATGTAGACAGGTTGACACCCCTGCCCTCTACCATTCTGGCTTTTGCCAAAGAATGGCTCATAACCCAATAAGAAAGTTTGTCAAATCTTTTCTTCATGAACAAATGCGAATGGAAAGATGGATTGAATCAAAAAATAAATCAGCCCTGGCCAGCCCACCTACCATAACCAACAAAATACTCTAGCCCTGTTTCTCCTTTTACCTCTTGGGTCATTCCTCAGTCTTCTTGGCTGGATCATTCTTCATAAGCATGGCCATCTCCGTAAGCATGAGTGTTCTCCAGGGTCCTGTCCTTTTCATCTTCACTTTCCTCAATCCTCTTTCTCTCTCCTGATGATCTTGGCTCACACAGGTTCTAGAACTATGCTTATGCAAATGACTCCCAGATCTAGAGATACGGTCCTTCTTTCTTCCCAGAACTCCCAATCCTGAATGTCCAGGACTTTCATATTCTAGACATCACAAATTCAACATGTCCAAAGCAGAACTCATTATCTCCTCCCCAAACTCACCCCTTCTCAGAACTTTTCTGTTTTCATCAAGTGTTCCCACCATCTGGAACTGTGAACTGATCCAATCACTCTGGAGAACAATTTGGAACTACGCCCAAAGGGCTATAAAACTGTGCATACATTTTATCCCAGCAATAGCACTTCTAGGGCTATATCCCAGAGATCATAAATAAGGGGAAAGGACGTACATGTACAAAAATATTTAGAGCAACTCTTTTTGTGGTGGCTAAGAATTGGAAATTGAGGGGATGCCCATCAATTGGGGAATGGCTGAACAAGTTGTGGTATATGAATGTAATGGAATATTATTGTGCTATAAGAAATTACAAGCAGGATGATTTCACAAAAACCTAGATTTACATGAACTGATACAAAGTGAAGTGACTAGAACCAGAAGAACATTGCACAAAGTAACAGCAATATTGTACAATGATCAACTGTGAATCACTTAGCTATTCTCAACAATACAATGATCCAGGAGAGTCCCAAAGGACTCATGGTGAAAAATGCTATCTGCTTCCAGAGACCAGACAGCTAATGTTGTCTGACTAGAGACTGAAGCATGCTGTTTTTCTTTCTTTCTTTCTTTCTTTCTTTCTTTCTTTCTTTCTTTCTTT